ACACCAACACCAAAACACCAAGAAAAGCAGTAGTAGCAATGAGCTTGAGAATGAACAACAATCCAAACCAGCTTGAGAAAATAAAACTGTAAATGGAAGCACCAATGCACGAGCGACCTTTATAAATGCATAGAAAAAATGTGAATATAAAATACATATCTTTTTTTTTTTCTTTTTTTTTTTGGCAATGTAAATAAAATAACGAACCTGATAGAAACTAGCATCTACATATTGTAGACACACTGTATTAAAACTTAAACCCAAAACATTGATGAGGACAAGTGGCCATAGACCAACGCATATATCCTTTTGTATTGTCGGTAGTTTAAAGAGACCAAAAGCTGCCGAGATATGTAAGAGAATTACCGCAAAAGTAACTTGGAACCAAAGTAAAGAAAAAGGTAAATCGACGCTATTCAATACCCACTAAACAAACAAATAAGGTTACATAAGAATTGAATTGAAAAGATCTTAGAAAGATCTTAAAATACAAGATGCTACCTACCTTGTTCACGAAGACCATTACCAGCGCTGTGGTGATGTAGAAGGTGACTGAAAAAGCGACCATTCCGCGGCTAGGTTGTTTGTCAGCCATTTTTTCGAGATTAAAAATAGGGAATGTGTATTATACTGTTATATGAAAGTAAATAAAAAAGGTTCTTTTTAAATAATGAATTTGGCATCCCGTTATTAAAAGACGCATTTACTATTATATAGAAACCAATCAAATTTCACTTAAAATTTCCAAGCTAATCCAAGTCATTGTCAATTGTTTAGAGTTTACAAATAAAACTAATATGGATATACTCATTTATGCTGGTGATACATGCAGCCAAAAAAGCATTATCTAATAAATGTTTTATTGTTAAAGTTTGGGATTTGTGTTACATATTATCAATTTTCGGTATTACACGAGAATGGTACGTACGTACGTACGTGTATAAACTTGTTCTGGGTAGATTCAAACTAGCACGTAGCCTAAGCCATGGTGAAAAAAATTGTCACTAAAACGCGAAGTCTGGTTTTCCCTTGACATCACTCACACATATATATATAAGTATTCCAGACCTTAAGTGAAAATATCCTATTCAATTTGATAAAAATCTTTTATTTCATCGATTTTAGTTTGGATAAGTAGTGTTATACCCAAAACTACCTCATTTACTTTTAGCGACGGATATGTTAGACGGTTGATAACAAATACTATGTCTATGTTTAAGTAAGGTATAAGGTTTATTGCAGTTACGCTTTAAAAGGATTATGTGATTTGCAGTTACGAAAGAGGCAAACGGCTAAATGTATATGAAATTACATGTAGTCGTGTATACTTTTGTTAGGCAAAACTATTTTTGGCAAATGGCAAAAGTCAAACTCTGGCAAAACGGCGGAACTCTGGCAAAACTCTGGTAAAGCTAAAACCCCTGGAGAAAGTCAAATACAGCGAAGATCAAATCCTCTAAAACTTTAGAAAGACTGAACCATGTTGGTATTTTGAGTATGGCTATTAAGCACAGTATGTGGCTTATAATATACAAAGCAATAAACAAAGCCTTTTATATATATATATATTATAATAAAAATTTAGATGTTCGATCCGTCTAGCATCACATGATTTTGTATCACACTACCCGTTGTTTAACAACAGGTCGAAGCATCTAGTAATAAATAATTTCAGCCTTGAACATTCAAAGCATGAAATTCTGTTTTCTTTTAGTAGTGCTATCTATATATGAATACTATTCATATAAAATAAACTTATCTAATATTTAAATAAATTTAGAGACTTGTTAATGCCACCCTTATTTTTGTTAATCCCTTATATAGCTCTTAAACCTTTGAAAACTCTATGAACAATGTTTACTCTAACTATTAACTAATTAATTACATAAATTCACACTGTTTTTAAATATTATTTGTAGAATTTTTAGAATTTTAAACCAGTTAGGGTTATATAGGGGGTGGTATACTTGACTTCTGTTAATATTAACCTTGTTAATATCAATTTTTATTTTTATTTTTTTATTTTTTATTTTTTAATTTGGCAGTCCTGCCTATTACTCTTTATTTGGAAGTAACAAAACTCATATCAACAGAGAGATACAATTTTTTATACTATATTTTATGTGAGTAAAGATCAATTTGAGTTAAACTCAAAGAATAACCCATCTAGCAGCAATTGGCTTCACATTGGATCCTCAACTTACTGAGGATATAAACCCTTCGATCCTTAGCCCTAGCAGCTGCATTACTTCATCAAAAGAGGCAAATAAACAAAAGCACAAACACAAAAGAAAAAATAAAACAGAGGTATAGGGGATATGATAAAAGATACAAACAAGAAAAAGAAAAG